CCATGTTGATGCACCAGAGCACCGGGATCGGAGGCACGCACTCGCACCCGCCGCCCGTGATGGCGAAGGCGGCCGCGGCGGTCGCGACCGAGGCCGCCACGCCGAGGAGGGTGTCGAAGCCGGCCTTGGCGGCCTTCTCGCCCTCGAAGGGCTGGTCGCAGCTGAGGCTCGCGTAGCAGCCGCCGTCCTTGAGGTCGGTGGCGATGCGGTTGTTGAGCTCGATGACGAGCGTCGGCACCACGACGGAGGTGGTGAAGATGCCGATCGCCTGCAGACGCCGTCTCGGCGTGACCTCGTGCTCCTGGGGTAGGCGAGGGGGGGCGACGAGGGGGGCGGGGAGCGCCATGTTGGACCAGGAGAGCAGCCGCGCGTTGAGCCAAGCGGGGACCATCGCGCCGACGAAGCACGACGCGGCGGTGCACATTAGCTCCCAGCGCGCGGCGAAGGTGTGGATGGCGTGGAGGAAGAAGATGATCACGCACTGCGCATAGACGAACATGAGTAGCAGCTTGAGGATGGCGATCGGCCTGTGGGCAGAACGAGGGGCGGGGTGGGAGGGGGGGGGGGGGGGGCACTAGAGTGCGCAGAGGGGAATCACTCTGGACGTGCGGTGAGGCCCTCGAGGGCATGCTCGAGGAATGAGGCTGGTGCTAGGGTCGGGCGTGGGCGTGTGGCGTGGGCGCGCCAGAGGACGTCGGCGATGTTGAGGACGAGCAGTCCCGCGAAGAAGGCGCACCTGGCGCGGAGGGGGCGACGCTTGCGGTGGCGAGAGCTGCTCACGGTCGGGCGGGGAGGGGGCGCACTGTGTGAGGATGAGCAAGGCGAGCTTGATGATCTGCGGCGGGATGACGAGCGCGATCATGCAGAGGAAGATGTAGGCGCAGAGGAAGAAGAAGATGACGTTGATGTACTTTTGCGAGATGAGGACGTCGTCGAGCGTCATGTGGCAGACGCGCAGGAAGATGGAGGACGAGGAGAGCGCGGCGAAGAACATCCACATCTCCACGCCGAGGTACATCGCGCCTGCCCTCTCACACGCGAGGGGCGTGAGCAGACCGCCTCTCGCCGGGCGCCACTCCTCCTATGGCGCGCGCCGGGCAGCTGCGGGAGGCGCGTGATCATGACGAGGCCCGAGACGAGGGCGAGCACAGAGCCAATCAGCACGTGCACCCCCTCGGTGATGGCGATGGTGGCGATCTGCTGAGCCGCAGGCCCGACGGCGCCCGCAATCACGATCGCGCCCGCCGCCACCGCCCCCGTGCCGACGTCGCCCGCGACGCGGCCAGCCTGGGGGGGGCAAGCAAGGGGCCAAGAGAGGTGGAGAGGGGGCACGGAGGCTGTGTTCCCGGGCCGTGCTCCCTCCCCACACCTCCCCACACCCGCTGGCCGAGGCCGCCTACCGGAGGCCCACTACACGCGCGCCTCGCCGACGTCCTCGACACCCGCCTCGCCAAAGCCGAATGCCGCCTTCGCCTGCTCGAGCGGGTCGGCGCCGTCCGCGACGGAGCCGAGCTTGGAGCCGCCCTCGACGCTGCCCTCGGCGGGTGCGCCGCCGTAGGAGAGCTCGGAGGGGGCGAGCGGCGCGTCGCGACTCGTCATCGCCGGCTGGGCGGCGCCGTACGAATAGGAGGAGTAGGAGGAGTAGGAGGAGTAGGAGCCGATTGGCTGGCCGTTGAGGCGCGTGCGGTTCCTCTTGCCCCGCAGAGCGAAGCCGGAGCACTCGTCCCAGTTGCGGCAGTACATGGGCACCTATGGGGCGGGCGGGCGGGCCGGGGGGGGGGGGGGGTGTTAGGTTCCCCCTCTCCTCGGAAACCCCGAGGGCCCCGGGCTCCCCCTTGTCCCCGGGCTCTCCATGATCATCCCCGCCGGCGGGGGGGCCCCCCGGTTGGGTTGTGTTTCATTAAGCTTGCCCCCCTGCCCAAAAAAAGGGGGTGTTTTGGTGAATATGGGGTTGTGTGGGGGTGCCTTTTTTAGGGGGGGGGGGGGG